CCTGCTCTTCGATGTCAATTGTGCCACAGTGTGACAGCAGTAAATGTTGCCTCGTGTGGTTTTATATGACAGAAAACGAAATATAAGCATCTATCTTATGATATTCTAAAATCTGATACCTCGTTCTTATTCACTGCTTCTGAATCAAATAAATAACAATGTAAATTGTTGTGAATAAATGTACTTTTAAAGAAGATTCTGTCTTCATGCCTGTATGAAGAATGAAATGAACAGACAACAAGAAATGAATGAATAATGAAATGAACAGACAACAAGAAATGCATGAATAATGAAATGAACAGACAACAAGAAATGAATGAATAATGAAATGAACAGACAACAAGAAATGCATGAATAATGAAATGAACAGAGAACAAGAAATGCATGAATAATGAAATGAACAGACAACAAGAAATGCATGAATAATGAAACGAACAGACAACAACAAATGCATGAATAATGAAATGAACAGACAACACGAAATGCATGAATAATGAAATGAGAAGACAACAAGAAATGCTTCCAAGGCAAATTTGTCTACGTTTTTCAACACAAACATGTTCATGTTAACTTGTTTACACATATATTATAAATATGTCGCCCAGGGCAGCAGCATTTATTTCGTCAAAATTCTTGACTGCAAACTTATGTTTGTCGTCTGTTAAAATTAATCAGAATATCTTCAGAACACAACATCTTTATGCAGACTTATTAGTCCCTCTATTTGTTTGAGAAGCTTTAACATTTATTTTTTCAACAGCTCTGTGTTTTAAATTCCCAATATTAAGTTTTACTTAGGAGTTATAGAAAATAAAGATTGACTTCAATAGGAAACAAGTGGGAATAGTCAAAAGCCGCGGTACTTGAAATTATTTTAGACAGGATTAGAGTAAATTAATCTATGATACCTTCTTTTTCCTTTTTATTAGCTATATTTTTGTCCGCCAGAAATATCAAGCGTGGGACACGTATATATCCGATTCAAATTTATTACTCATCAGGATCTCTACCAGCCTACCCTAAAACTGAAATTCTTTTAGGCAGGATTAAAGTATATGAGACCTTGGGCGTGGTCAAATACATCGATCTAAAAGGCTTGACTTCCTGAGTCCAAAACTGCAATTAGACCTCAAATCGATCAAGAGATGACGGAATTATGATCTAAAATTGTTACCCCCAAAAAAAAATCAGAGCCGTTCTATGAGCCGCTGTGCCGCGGCTAAAAATGCTGCTACAACACCAAGTCTTGTATATAACCCTTTTGACCTCTAAAGAACGTAATCTTCATAGCAGAGGTATTGATTACTTAATTATTGTTATAACACAATCCACACAGTAATTATAAAATAAGTAATAGGCTAACCTAGTTTCCACTTCATTCTTCTAAATATCACCCACTTTCTAATGTAGCAGATAATAATTAATATATTTTGTCTTTATTCGACTACTCAGTTAAAACTAGTAAATAACTCGATTATATTTTCTTCAACAACAGCAGAAAGTGAGAGTGTTTATTTAATTGTTGTTGTTGTTGTTGTTTTCAAACTGGTTATCTTCTTAAGTTTCTCCATAAAAGTATTGTTCTGAGTCTGCAAACACCTAAAAGGTTCGTCTCTAAAACTTTCCTCAAATTCTTACTTTTTAGCTTCACATTAGATTGCATTGTTATGTGAGGATAGTTATATTCAATTTATTTGATGTATATTGACAATTAATGCTGTTGTTTTTATAGCCTAACACTAAATATTGGTAAAAGTTTATAAATTCTTGCTTGAAAAGACTCCTCCTAACAAAGATACATTGGTATGATACTCTGTTACAGTTTGTTCAAACTATTGTATTTTGTCATTGCTATGATACTCAGTTGCACTTTGTTCAAACTATTGTATTTTGTCATTGCTCTGATACTCTGTTGTACTTTGTTCAAACTATTGTATTTTGTCATTGCTATGATACTCTGTTGTACTTTGTTCAAACTATTGTATTTTGTCATTGCTATGATACTCAGTTGCACTTTGTTCAAACTCTTGTATTTTGTCATTACTTGATACTCTGTTGTACTTTGTTCAAACTATTGTATTTTGTCATTGCTATGATACTCTGTTGTATTTTGTTCAAACTATTGTATTTTGTCATTGCTATGATACTCTGTTACAGT